GCTGGGTGTTTTCAAAAGCCAATTAAAAACGTGGTTATTTAAACAGGCCTTCCCCACAGTCAATTAAGTGATTTTTTTTCTTTTTCTTCTTTCTGAGTTTTGCCATCTTGGAAACGTGCTGGTTAGAATTAACTGTAATAATTGTATTATATATGTTTATTTTAATGTGTTTTAACCTATGTAAGCCGCCCAGAGTAGATGTAGTCTAGAGGGGCGGGGTAAAAGATAGATAGATAGATAGATAGATAGATAGATAGATAGATAGATAGATAGATAGATAGATAGGATCCTGTACACACCATTGTGACTGCTAAAATCAACATTCAGGTTGGCCTTTGTTGTGTAAAACTCGGCATCCTTTTTTCTGCTGGCAACATAGGCACGATATTGTGCAGCAATATGAGGCCATTTCTGGCATTTAGAATTATGGATACAGAAGCACAATGTCTCACATTCATAAATCAGATGTTTTTTTAAAGCAAAAAAAAAATTAATAGTAAATGCTGCATTTCAGTTGACTACTTAAACTTATTGTATTGGAACTGATGCTTGGTGTAAGATAGGATGAATCTACACTTGTGAAACATATTGCTTGACTTGAGTGAATGGCTGTTCTTCTGCCATTAGCTTTTGCAGTGGTCACAGGCAGACTGATGTGCCTTATGCTTGAGTGCACATTTTGGCATTTGGCACAATGTAGACACCAAACCAGAGATCTTCAAGATGTTATCTTCTTAGCCACAAGTCTGTTTACCTCAAAGTTCTATCAGAATTGGTCAGATGTAATCCAGCACATATCAGCAGGAGGAAATTAACATCCTTAATTAGAGGTCCCTGTTGCAATGCCATACCCCTTGCCATATGCAGTTCTGGAACATTTTACAAGTACAAGTTAGAAGAGGGGAGAGAGATGTACTGTACTGGAATTCAGCATTTGGTGTGGAAAGGAACATAAAAACTGCAAATCTTTCTTGTAAGAACTGGGGAACTTGGCATTTTAAGCCAAAACATAAATCTTTATATTAGAATTGCTCAGGATTTTTGCTAAACTTGTCATTGAAAGTTCTCAGAGAATATTGGTGTTAATTTTCCATACTGTTCTTTTAATTTTTTTTTAACAGATTGCAAGGAAACGGCACAAAGGCATTGGTGGTTTCAAGAGTCCACATGGCCATACCAGACCCCCAGCCTGTCTCAAGCATATCAGCCTCATGCCCCTATCTCAGATCAAGAAAGTACTAGATATCCGAGAGACAGAAGGTTTGAACATTTGCATCTGAATCAAGGGTAGTGTGGGTGGTTTTGAGAACTCATACATAGAATGATGACTTGAAATGCTGAAATGTTTTGGCATGGCTGGTTTGCAAGATCTCTTACAAAAAGATTTCACCTGGAGGTCATGGAACTGTAAATAACCATTAAAAGTAGTGAGACAAGGCAGTCAAATGTCAGCTTTGAGCTTGCACTTGAGCACTTTGAGCAAACTTATTTTCAAAGCTTTTAGAGTACATTGAATGTTTTCATATGCCTTGACACAGCACTTGTCTAAAAGTAGAACGTAACATGTGGGCACGTTGACCTTTAAGAACAAAGGTTTGTGTGAGTAACACTTTAATCTGAAGCAGCAGTTAAGCTCATATTCCTTTCTTAAAATCTATGCGCAACTTTCTCTAGATTATGTTATCTGTATGATTCTAAAAATCCTAATGAAATCAATATTGTGTCATTGTATGGAGAACGTTGTCTTAATTTCCACAACTTGCAACAGTGCTCAGCAGAGGAGTAAGATATGCTGCTGGAAAGATCCTCGTCCTGTAACTTTAGAAATAGTGCTCGGTATCAAGTGGCAGTCTTTGTATGGATATACTCAGTGCAAACCTAAATCTAATGTGAGTTCAGGGAAGTGATACAGCATCATATGCACACCCTCTTTATCTGGAAATTCCTCCTCTGTGTGAGTTTGGCATGGGACTCTAGTTCATGACTCCAACCAAGGTGGTTTTTAAACTCATCATGCTAGTTAAAAACAGGTGAAGTGGCTTTGAAAAGTCTGCCAGGTGTTTTTTGTTTTACTTTTGTTCCGTGATAGTGTTCTGCAAAAAGGGAGCACGAGTTACAATGGTGATCGTGCCATCAGAAACACTAGGAAGAATTAGGTTTAATTTCCTGCTCAGCCAAGAAGCTCACCACTGGATGACTTGGTGTCAAGAAAAAGTGCAGAAGGGACGAAAACTTGTTATCCCGAGCTAACTAAAACACTGAAGCAGGGAAGCAAGGAATTACACTTCAGCATCAGGGAAAGGATATTCACAATACCTTATAGTTGTCTCTAGATTCTTCAGCTCCAATAGTTAAGCTGATAGACACTAAAGGAGCAAAATAAATCCCTCAATACAAGGAACTACATGCAGGATCATTTTGATCAGTGTGTCACCATACCTGAAGTCTAATAGTGGTTAGGATTCAGGGAATGACTCCCAAACACCTGTCGTGTTTGTAGTATGTTGTGGAAGGGGACAAAACCTAAAGGCTTTGACCTCTGTTATTGAAAGCGTGCCAAACAGAAATCCACTTTTTGCTTCCAAATTCTCTGCAGTGAAGCCTCAGTATTGTGGCTTCTTTGCTTTTGTATTTTTATTCTGCTTACATGGCTTTAAATCTGACCTCATCCCCTGAGATTCTATACCTTGTCTTACATCCGATTTATAATGGTTAAATAAAGCAACCAGCAGCTTCACTATATCTTTCAGAGCCTTGCTGAACTTTGTCCCTTGTTTTCTGTGGGTAGGAAAAGGTTACCCACCGTTGGCTGCAGAGATGGGAGCTGCTCCAAAAGTGTAGATTCTTCAACGTGGTTCTCCATGAATCCACACTAATGGGTTAAGTCAGCACTTGTGCTGGCCTCTCGGAATCTTCTAGAGCTGCAAGAGAAAAGTAACAGTGTTCAGGTTGCCCTGCACTGAGCATGCTCAGCCCGCCAACGGCTCAGTTCCTTTTTTCCGCTTGTGAAAGTTGGAACCTCTCGGACTGAGCTCCTGTTTTTTGGCTATATTTCGTGCTTATTCTTGACCGGACTGAAAATCGTTTATCTGCCTGTTGTTGCCCTGACTCTGGACTGGATTTTGACTTCGCTTTTGCCTCTGGCGGCTTTGCTTACTCCTCTTTTGGCCTAATTGGCCTTTCAGGCCACCCTCTGAGGCGCCACGTGCCCTTTGGTCATACCGATCAACGGTAATTGGCCCCCTGCGGTGCGCCTCGCGCCTGCCGGATTTGTTCAATTTTGTGGTATCCGGCGTCTTGGCCTACCCCCCTTTACCTGGGACTCCTGGTCTACTAGCCTTCATTACGAACTAGTAAAATTTGATCTCAGAGCTGTCCTAGTGAAACCCTAGCAGTGATTTCCTCCTTCAGTCCAAAGTTGTTGAGAAGGTTTTCTAATAACCACTGTTGCGGCTCCTTGCAGACTGCCATAAAGCATTTGCCCTGGTTGTGCGGCCACCGACAGAGCAGACCAACTTGTTGTTCAGTTTCCAGATAACAACTGAAGAACCGCCTAAGGAAGACTGGCTGAAGATGCTGTGTCGGCATGTTGCCAACACAATATGTAAAGCAGATGCTGTAAGTTCTCTGTATTGCAGTTGTGGAGAGACAATTCTGTGAGCCCTCTTCTGTTAATGCATAGATCTGATATGTAGGAGAGATGCATATGATGACTAATCTTATCAATATCATTTTGGTACTAGTGGAATGCTAATAAACAAGTGCAGAATGTCAAATTGGAACATGGGCAAGTCCACACTATCTAAAATCATCTATAAGCCATTCTAACACATGACAACTTATTGTTTCAAAGGACAGTGGTGTCTCGCAAGACAAATTTAATTCGTTTCACGGTCAATGCCGTCTTGCGAAAAATTCGTCTTGAAAGGCACAGTTTCCCATAGGAATGCATTGAAATTTAATTGATGTGTTCCTATGGGGAATTTTTTTAAAAAAAGTAACTTACCAGGTAGGGAGTTGGGGAAGCACCATCGGAGGGCTGGCGGGGGGGGGTCCCCTCACTGTGATCACTGGCTTTGGGGGTTCCCCAGGGCTTCCCTTACACCATCCCAGGACTCGTGAATGTCAACATTTGTGAGGCAGCAAAAACCTCGCCGGGCCCATTTGTCTAGCGCGTTTTTCGTCCGCTGAGGCAATCGGCTTGCGAGGCACCAGTGTAATAGGGACAGTAGTGGTTCTGTTTACATGACATGTTTGGAGATACTGACTTTACAAGTTCTGTTGCATCTGTACTGGGAGTTCAGTAGTGTGTAAAACTAATGTTATTTGGAGATGCTTCATTAGCTGCCCTGTTTAGCATGAAGTAAACTACTTGAAATGGGGCTATAAGGCATCCTTTCCTGGAGGCTTTTGGGCAATGAGAGTAAGAAAGTTGATGTTTCACTAACTTGTTTTGCTAGATGCCACCAGACAAAATTGTTTTTAATAACTATTTTTTAATTTCTTATTCCTTTTTAATCTGTGGTACTTGAATGCTTACTGCTGCTTTTATTGTTTTTATTGTCTTACACATTATGTAAATCTATTAAGTTGCCTTGAGGTTGATTTGAAAAAGGATATGAGACTTAAAGGCATTAAAAAAAATCTTAGCCACTGGATTCCTGGTGAACCAATTAAATGATTCATTCTTCTTGTGAAAAGGGATTGCTCCAATAAATGCTGTTTTAATAAGAGGCATCGTAGCGGATTGGGTCCTGCTGAGTTCTATGGGATTCTTTTGGATTTGGATCTCAAAGCAGAGTTAGTTTTGAAACAGTAGCATTTGCTGAGTGAAATATTGAAGCCTTTCATGGGTTAAATAAAGGTACTGTATGCTACAAATTGAAAAATGAAACTGTATGGATTTTGCTATTCTGTAGCAAGATCCCATCTCCAGGTTGGAATGGATTTATAAATGACATCTAGATTTATTTACTCTGTTATACTTCAAATCACAAACTATCTTTTCTTGTCTTGAAGTGGTATGACTTACATTTGTTCCTTGGATAGAAAGGAGCCCATTTTAAAAAAAGATAAGTTTACAGTGATGTAAAAATCCCACATGGTGGCAGTAAAGACTTGAACTTTGTTCATTCCTGCTTGTTTGCTAAGCAGCAAAATAACCTGTAGTAATTATTTTGTAAATTTTGTGTGGATGCACTTGCATCTATAGTATGTAGCATCTAATGTACATATTTCAATGCAAGTTATATGTTTAAGACTTTGCTGATGAAACTTAAGGGCTTATATTTTGATTTTTTTCAATGTGGATATTTAAGCTATTTTCTTATGTATAAGTAATTTCTCAACATTTATTTCTGTTAGGAAGATCTAATTTATGCAACTGATCCAGATTCCATTGAAGTAAATACAAAAGATATGGATAGCACATTGAGTAGAGCATCCCGGGCCATAAAAAAGACATCCAAGAAGGTAAGAGGCATGACTAATAAAGTACAGTGGTGCCCCCCTTGACGACGAGTTTTTTGTGATCACTAGCAATCGCAAAACGATGGTTCCTATGGGTTTTTTTTTTTGCTTTACGTCGATTAGATGCCTGCTTCGCAAAACAATGTTTAGTTGTTCGCTAAACAATGTTTTTTCCGGCTCCGCAAAATGGCTTCCCTCCCTTCGCAAAATGGCTGTTTTCCGAACCCCTGCTTTGGAAGACAGTGATTTTAAACAGCTGATCAGTGGTTCTCTATGGGTGATCTTCGTTGGACGATGAGGTATTTCTCCATTGGAACGCATTAACTGGTTTTCAATGCATTCCAGTGGGGTTTTTCCCCCGCTTGGCGACGATTTTGCTTAACAGTGATTTTCCTTGAACGGATTATTGTCGTCAGGCGGGACACTACTGTAACGGTATTGTGAAATCACCTCCTTACATTAACTGTTCCCAGAGACAAAATCCAAGCAACTTCATTCCCAGCACAGTTTTTCTTAATTTTATTTATAATGAAATAATAACATTTCCTTTCATAGTAAAAATTCTATCAATCATTACACATAGAAAAAGTAAAACCAAAAACTGCAAATTCTCACCGAATACAAATAGTCATTTCAAATGTTCTAGTGAAATAAACAAACCATTTGAAGTTTGAAAGGAGACTTTCACACATTCTGTAACATTGAAGAGAATGCTGCCTGTTGACAAATGCTACTCTTACCTTTGTACAGATATACTTCATATTAGCCCACAATTTTGAAGGGAGCTTTCAAGCATTGGTGTGTGTGCATATGTTTATTTTTCTCTCTCTCAACATTGTCTGTGTTCCTATTTTGTGATGCAGAGTCTGAGGGCTTGACTAGAACGGTGAGTTTTCAAGCCATAGGAACGCATTGAACAAAGTTCAATGCGTTTCTATGGCTTTTTTTATTCCGTTTAGCGATGTTTCGCTATAGCGAAGGTTAATCCGGAACGGATTAACCTCGCTATGCGAGGCACCACTGTACAATAAAAGATAAAATGATTAAAATACAATTAAAATTGCTATCAGGACCCACAGTTGATGTTATTTCAATGAAAAGTCTTCTGGAACAGGAAGGTTTTGACCTGGTGCCGAAATGTCATCAGTGTTGGCGCCAGACGAATTTCAGTCGGGAGGGCATTCCATAGTCTGGGGGCAGCTGCCGAAAAGGCCCTTTGTCTACAAGCCATCCCTCTTACCTCCTTGAGGGATGGCTCTTTCAAAAGGGCCCCCTGGTTAGATCTTAACTGCTGGGTAGGCTCATATGGAAGGTGTTTGGGAATAGCCATGTTAATATTGCAGAAAGAAGCCATAATCTGCTTTTTTTCATTGTCTTCTGATGCAACCTTTTGCAAATTTGATGGGTGCTAAAATTTATGTATTCATACCACACACATGCGGTAGCTGAAATCCTACTGCACCGCTCTGCCTGCACAGTACAGAAGACAATGTTGGCATTGGCAGATTGCTGCTGCTGCAAGGCTTTATCAGTTCGCCGTGTCCACAGCACATCCAAATACCATGCAACAAAAACATGCAAAATAGCAAAAGAAAGCCTTTAATCAACAGCAAGTTGCCATTCTTGATTATGTCATCCCAGTTGTGCAGGCAGACTCCACCTGTAATTTTTTTTTTACCTGTTTACATACCTGGCATTAGCTCAGTGAATTGGAGTACTTGGCTGTGAAGCAAGGAATCAGTTCCTGACTATGCCTCTCAGGAGAAAATCTTTGTAGACTTACTGCTTCTGAGTACTTTATGCCCAGGGAACCTTGCTTTAAGTTGAAATCAACTTAATGGCACAAAATTATTATTGTAGCATGACGTCCACTTCCAGTTTTGCAAAACAGGCATTTGAATTATTAAATGATGCATGGGGTCTATGACCAGCATCATATGCCATTCCTGGAGGTTTTCAAGTAGCTGAAATTCACACATTTTTGCCAGAGAAAGAGACAAGCCTTGAGAGCTGCTTTTGGTCTCAGGGTTGCAGATTCCAGTTGCTGTAATGCAGGAAAGCACTTCATTCATCTGATGAAGTGGACTCAAGTTTTTGAAAAGGTATGCCATAGTAAATTAGCTAGCCTTTAAGATGTGTTTAAAAAGTGACAGAGCAGTCATAATTGACAGTCAAGTATTGGAGGTAAGGGAGTAATGAGGTGATTTTACTACTTCATCCATGGCCCTGGCTATGCATCCTGGCCAAAAGACGTGGGCAGCTATTTATTGCCTCCAACCCCCAGTTGTCCTGGTTGAATAGTTTAATATATTTTTTTCTTACTAGTATTTATAATGGAACTGTCTTCAGTTCTTTGTAGGTGCTAAGCTCCTCTTTATGGCAATGGAGGTTATTACCTTACTTACTCCATGGCTGGAGGGGGGGGGAAGTGCAAGAGACCATATCATAGCTACAGCTCAGTGTAAAGGTATTGAAAAACTTGCAGTTGATTTCATTTTTTAAAAAAGATGTGACTGAACTTCATTATCTTGTCTACAGTGTACTTAATGTCACTCTTGTCAAATTATCCAGGTTACTCGAGCATTCTCTTTTTCCAAGACACCAAAGAGAGCACTCCGGAGAGCTTTGATGGCACACAGCAATGTAGAAGGGAAGAATTTTGGCACAATGAGTGAAAGTTACTTAGGGGGACGTCTTGCCAGTACTTCATCCCTAGCAGTAAGTGACTTGCTTAGAGAAGTCTTAAAGGCTCACTCGTTAACTGTGCTCCTTTAAGTAATGAAGCTTATTGTATCATGTTTGTTAATCTCTTTGAAGTCATAACACCTGTGTGTTTGATGCGATTAAAAGATCTTATCAACTGCAGTAGAGAAATGCATTATAAATGTCAACCCAAAGGAAGCACACATAATGGAGATATTGGGGAAACTGTTAAGTAGACGGAAATCTCTCCCCTTATGGTTGAATATATACTTTTGAGAGAACAAAGCATTAAACAAATACTTAGCTATGATAGTTGCAGGGGGCTTTACAGCTACTAAAGAATAATGTAAGCACGGGAAATGCCTCTGTCACTGATGCCAAAATGTGCATGTGTGTTTGTTGGGATCAGAAGAGGTTAGGGGACATTTGATCTAGATAGTTCAGGAATACAATATTTTTTCTTGCAGCAAACAGGACTGTTACAGTAAAGTAAGAGAAGCTAACACTTAGAACAGGTAGTAACGAAGATGGCATGAAGCACTTCAGTCTAAACAGCCCAAGGGAAATTTGCCGATTTAATCTCTTTATAGGAATGGTACTTAGTGTTATACCATGGTAAACGGTGGTGAGCCACTGAAAGTTGTATTCAACTTCTTTTCACATGCCTGAGCATGGCCCATGGCTCTTTTAGTGACCAGGTCATGCATAACCAAGTTTTGCCTTTCTTCACACAGGGCCATAAGCTTCAGGGGGTTTCCTTCATGCCTCCTCTGCTCTTGAAGTGGGAAGGCACTTTGTCTTCTGAAAACCACATTAGGCTCCTCCATCTTGTCACACAGCCTACTATTTGAAGTGCATGGACAAGATATTTCTGAAGAAAACTGCTTAACTCTGCAAAGCTTGGGAGAATTTCTTCCTTCACTCACTCCCCCATGTCTCAGTTCCCAAGGGTTTTATTCAATATTGTGAAAGAACTGTGTCCAATTGGCAACCGGTCTCTGTTTAGTTTGCCCTCTGACAGTGGCTTGAGAGCCTCTTGGAGGAAGCGTCAATACTCTTGAGTGAGAATGAAGAGCTTTTATAGGCTGTATGCTCAAATTATTCTTCCCCTTCTCCGTGTAGTTAGTTATTTTCCAAAGATGTGGATAAAGCTTCTCTTAGAGTGAAAGTTGGACTTAAAATCAGTATTACCGTGATGAATTTGGTGCTGGTCTTTGAATAGGTTGCTGTATAATTTTGGAAATGATTATGCAGATAGAATTTAATCACTCATACTGTGGGCTTGGAAAGTGGTGTAGGGCAGTGGCTAAGACTGAATTGTAAGCCTGGCTATCTCTAATTTGCTTGCTGGCTCTCCTATGGACTAATTAAGCAGCCTTTGGCAAACGGTTTTCAGAATTTTTTTTGACTTTCCTCCCCAGTTACCTATTTGCAGTTACCTTTAAACTAGGATTTAATATGTAACACATAGGTTAACTTTGTCTCCCTCCTCCCCCCCCCATGTTTTTAGATGACTCGTTCCTCTTCCACATACAGTTTAAGTGGGCCAGTTAAAAATTATTCTAGCGTACATCGTTCCAACTCTGTTGATGGGAACTCCCAAAGTGCTATGTCTCGACTTCTGCTCTGTGCTTCGCGTGGTCTCCAAGGAAGAATTGCTTCCAGCTCTGAAAACTTAAATGGCTACTCTGTGGCCAGTAGTTGCCCAGCTGCCAGCAGTGATGAAGTGGGTGATGAATAGCGGGCTACCCAAAGTGAGCTCCTTCACCTCTTTGTTGGGCACGTGTTGCAGACAAAAGTGGCTTGCCTCAGATGAAGTGCACAATCTATTCAAGTTCCTCTGGGTTCTGGTTTGGTGTGGACTTCCTCACTCCTAGCACAAGGCACTAGAAATTCTTTTTTTTTTAAAAATTCACTACCTCTTTCAGGCAAGGTGTGATCATCATAAATGCTGGTTTGTTGTGGGTTTCTTTCCATGTTTTCTGATATTTAAAATGTAGATATTTTTTAAAAAATGTGTACTGATTTTGGGCTCTGATCTTCTTAGTCCTGTACCTTTTTTGAGTTAAGGTCAGAGCCGCTGTTGTTAAGTATGTGCTCCTAATCTTCCTATTTACAAGTTTTATATAATGCTTTATTTTTGTGCTGTTGATCTGCATCATCATTGGCAGATGTTTATCCTGAAGGCTGTAAGCAAAGTGACCTTCAGAAGACGCTCAATAACCTTTTTGGTCAAGAATTTTAAACAGTCCTGAATGTCGCTGTATATGGAAATAAAATATTTGGCTTAGTCCACAAAGGTTTTATTTGCCTCTGTGTTAAAAGAAATTCAGTCATTTTGTTGGGAGGCTTGGACAGAACTATTCTTATATAGATTGTGGCAGTTTAAATTCTTATTTTTAGCTCTCATTGGCTCACTTGGGTTGGAAAACCTGGAAAGAAATGTTATTTGTTTAAGATATAAGTTTCACAGGTCTAAAGGGAACTTCTGATTTTACACAGATAGAATGTATATATGTTCCTCTCTACAATGTTGAAAGAGCTTACCAGAACCTTAAAGGCCCAATTTCTTTAACATGGGGAAGATCTCACTTTACTTCTTTCTTTGAATTTATTTGAATTTCTTCCCCACACACGTGGGGTAGTTAATCTCTACATCAGATTGTCAGCATTTTTGTTTGTTTGTTTATTTTAACAGGGCATCCACTCTCCTTCCTTGATCAGCCTGCCATCAGTGTTTGAAAAGAGGAGTCATACCTTAAGTCGATCAACTACTCACTTGATATGAACTGGATGCAGAATTGAGTTGCAATGGAAAACTGACTAACTAAAATCTGGAGTAGCTTTCCCAACAACCCTTTACTGACAATGAATGATGGTACTTAGTTAGCACTTAGTGGTAATTAGTAAATGTTTAGATAACACTAAGCTGATCACCAAGAGTTGGCGGATTTCGGACTTTGGTTTGGCAGGTGGGGGATATAAACATCCCCTTTGTACAAATTGCATTATCAGCATAATGGAAATATTCTGTTCAGTGTAAAGACTTTGTGAATAAAATTACATTGTTTATTACATGGAATTGTTTACTGAAACATGAAAATTGTTCATAGATGTTTCTGCTGGCTGTGGATGGTGAATTTTGTTTTTAAAATAGTCTTGGTGTTTATTCATAACTCTTGGATGCACCAATACTTAAAGTGAAAAACTTGCTTCATATTTAAAGTACAGCTTTTAAAAAATTTCCAAAAAGATGCAGGTTTTTAGATGCCTGAATATTCTCCAGATGGTGGAGGTTAACCTTATTTATGATCGTTGAGTGGTGGCCATTTAAAAGAAGCTATCTTAAAAATCAGCTATCTTTTCAAAAGTAGTAGAACACTTTTAAAATATACTTTTCATGCACAGATTGCCATGTAGAAGTGAAAACATAGATCTGACTTCAGTATCTGCAGCTATTTTTTATTCATAGGTTTTCATATAAACTCCTCAAACATTTACAGTACTCGGTTTTTCATATACTTCTAGTATTTTTCTTTTACAGTGCAAATATTTTTAAAATAATCAGGTTTTTGTAATATATTCCTACACTCGCTTTGTAAAATTAAGTTTCTACACATATTAAACTATTTCTCACTGCTTTTATTTGGGAGAGATAGTCGGTAGGACTTCTAATTTCCCATTCCCTCAACCTTAGATTGCCACTGATTCCTACATATAAATTGTGTCACTTTATTGCTTTTGTATGTTTTAAAAATTCTATACTGATGGAAACTTTGTGAATAAACTGAACTGTTTGTCAACTTTATTTTAGATGTTTAATCCCATGGATTCCATCTTGAGAGCTGCTACACCAACTCAAATAACATTTATTCTAAACCTTGGCAATATTCAACTGTTTTTGGCTTCTTAATAAAGTAAAATCTAATCAACGACACTTATATGCCTAGCTATATATTTTAAATATATATAGTGAAAGCATTTTTCCTTTGGATTTTTTAAGTTTTTCTATGCTTTTGATAATTTGGCCATTATTGCTAATGTAGTGCCTAAATACCACTGAACATTTCTGGTTGGCTTTAATAATGTATTATTTTGGAGTCCATTAATTTCCATTGTAGTCAAAAGAGAAAAAGGATAGACCCGAGACTGAAATGACAATATAAAAATTACATTGGATTAAAAGGAATGGATAGTGTCAAGAAGCTCTCTTGCGATGGTCTGGCTATATGACCCATAAATGTCAGTAGTTGTGAAACGTTAGAGAAGTATTGTGCAAATGTTTTCAAACAACTTACTAATAAGACTTCAGTGAAGGCCAAGTTACCAAAGTTGACAATACACTGACTGGCTTGGTGTGGTAAAAGATGCTGTTGCTATAAGCACCCATTAGTTTTGTTTCTTGACCCGCAACAAAGTTCTAAAGGTTTAACTCAATTCAAAGGTTTAACTCGATCCAAAGCCTTCCATTCTACCTACGAATAGGGCACTGGCTGAGGCAATGAAAAAGATCTCATGGTGGGAGAAATTAAGCCACTGCTTTTAAACACCACGGTCCCAATATGAGCAGTGTTTTCTTTTTAAAAATATATACATAGAGTCTAATTGTTTTTCTACTTGCAGTCTGGGCCGTGTAACAAACTGTGATATCAAAATCTCACCTTTTACGGGAAGAAGCCTTTCTGGTGAGGTTGGTGGGCTGGTTGGCTGGAATTCTGGTTTGAAAGATTTCTGTCTTCATTTCTTCACTGATCTGCTTAGATGTTCAGTCAACTCAATCTTAATTAAAGTTCGTAGTACTGTTTGAAGAGGCATATATATTCTCACTTCGTGGTACTGAGGTGTTTATGGACTACATACAGTACAGTGACTCATTTGTACGTTCTCTGTGGAGATGGGAATAGTCATGGGATTACCTTTTTCTCAATGTCATGTGTTAGAGCTATGATAGCTTTATTTGTGCTGAAACAGTTATTTATCACACTTATTTGCTGTTTAAAATAAAGCGAATGAATCAATGACCAGGTTCAGGTAGAAACAGTGAATAAAACTAGTTGGAAGTGATTACTTTCTTCTAAAAACACCATGTATATAGTTTTGTGATTAGCAATTCTTCCCTCGTTAGGACAACCTAGTCCTTGTTCTGCTGGCTTCCATTATTCTCTCTTGAAGGGGTAATAGAAGTATTCCTCAAAATGAAAATCACTAGAGTATGTTTGGCCCTTGTTAAGTTCTAACACAAAGCATGACTTTCATAAAAATTATTCTCTATTTGGAGAATACTGAAATACTGTTCCAAAGAGAATTGTGTTACCACCAGCAAGCAAGCAAGCCAGAAAGTGTTTAAATTGGTCCTAAGTATGGACTGTTATCAGGGTTTAATTTGAAAAGAGGGAGGTATCAGAACTTTCATAATGCTCTGGTACGTCTTTCAGCTCTAAGAAGCCTAGATGACTCATCCTGGCTGTATTTGATTCAAGCTGACTTCCCAGAAAATTGTATGTACACCCAAGATCACATGGAGATTCCTAATTTTTGTCTGTACTGTCCTGAGATTGTTAAAACCAAAGGGGCTTCGAGTATAATAAGAATGGGAATAGAAATTCCATTGTGTTCTGTTTGTTGCTTATATATCATTTGAAAGGAGCAAATGCTGATCAAGGTGTGTGTACTGTCTGCAGATGGCATGGTATTATGTGTTCTCCAGAGACAAATTAATGCCTAAGAAGCATCTCAGTAGTGAGGCACATTACAAGCAGATGCTTTGCTCTATCAAAATTAGAAAGGACAAAAAGCTCCTTCCTTTTGGGTCAGTATTAGTATTGGAGTTTAGTCCTTGATTTAGTCTTACGTAAGACCCCTAAGCTCACAGCCTGTGACTTTCATCATAAGTGTGAATGCTTTTGTTCTGTAGGGACTTGGAGAAAGCGCAAAAAGTTGTATAGAATTTATCTTCCAAAGACTCTTGACTTGTTTTTGAAAAGCAGGTTTCTAGTTTTTGTGAGTGAATGTGGTGCAGAATTCATTTCTCAAAGACTCTTAACCTGTTTTTGAATTGGAAAGCTGGTTTCCTGTTGTGACCGAAAGGGGATGGGAAATCTCAGAAACGAGAACAGTGGCTGAATAAGATTCCATTGTATTTGTCTCACTCTTGTCTAGCAAAAACAATGTAAATGATGCCACAGAAATCTGGAGTGAGAGAAATTATGCAAATTCTAACTGATATAATTATGCAGGTTGCACAATTTGTAGATTTCTCTGGCATAGTATTTGGATTGCCTAGGTACAGAACTTCTCCAATTGAAAGTGTGTGTTTGATGCAAGTACAGTCATGATGGTTCTGAGCTTTGAGACATCTAGGTTCCTCTGTATAGGTTCCTTGCTCAAAATCTATTATGTGTGAAGTGGCTTAAAATCCCTAAAGCAGAAGAATTTTGAACCGCAAGAGTGGACCAACTACCACATGGTTATGAGTAAAATAACTTCAGCAATTCTTATGCAAAGCCGTGCAACAGATTGCCAGGGTTATGTTAGATCCGAATGCATAGTAGCTAACTTTTTGCTTCTAAAATTTACTTTTATGAAGTCCATGGGATATTCTAGTCCTCTTTGCCCTTGCCAAGGAGCAACTTGGAGAGGATAAATGTGTTGGTAGCTTTTATGAACCCGAGTCAGAGGAGGGAGTCTCCTTTCACTTACATTTTTTCTCTCTCTTAAGAAAATGTTGAGTTGCTGTATGTACTTGTCTTGCCCTTTTTCCTCATCTGAAAAGCATAGCATGCTTAGCATTAACCTAGTTATAGAGATTTCTAGAGTGGAATGGAGTGGAATATAAATAATATGGCTCTGAGTTTTCTGTTTCATCCACCTTTTCAAAATGAGAGAACCTATTTGCCACTTGTTGATGTCTGGAGCTGGGGGGTGGGGAAAACTAAGCATCTCTCAGCATCAGTATCCTTATAAATATGCAAACCTTCTCTTTGCCTAAAGAGGAAGTGATTTATTGACTGTATTGGATTGCAAGCGCCTACATGCTTTCTGCTCCTCTGTGATGGTAAAGATAATATTTCGGTTACTTCTGCAGTGTCACTGCCTGGGGTGAATGTAAATATAAGCAGAATTGATTGGGCTGGTTTCTATCTTCTGTACTATACTCTTTTTGTATGTTACAAGTGGATTGGTGAATGGATCAGGCTCTTAATTAAAAAATAACAGGCTTTACACCTTTAGCTCTGTTTCCAGGTCAGAAGATTCTGCTAGGTGAGTCGATGACACTAGCAAAGCACAAGTGGTCACAGTCTAATTATTTAGTGGGGGAAAATACTGTGAACTTAACAGTCCATAGTTGTAAGGAGTTATCATTGACAGTCTACTGAACATAGACAGAGTGGATGAAACCGAAGGCTTATCTATATTAATGGACAACCATCTCCTTTTGGGGACACCCCAAGTAGGATAAGAGGACATTATTTATTTTATTTTATTTATTAGATTTCTACCCTGCCCATCTAGACCAAATCTAGACCCAATGAGCTACATGCTCTCTCTGAATATATGTAAGATTGCATATATTTATCAAGACTTGTTGATGGTCTTTTCTTCTGTGAATTGTTTAGTCTCCTTTTCAATCTAACTAGGCTGGTTGTCTGACTTGCTTTAAAGTTACATCCATTTTTTTAAAAAATGTTGGATCCCTACTTTTGGTCTGAAGACTTGTTTTCGCATCAGGATTGTGTCAAAGAGCCATAGGCAGCTTAGGGTATCCTCAGGGATGTACTCTATTTGGGGGCCCCCATGTGTTTTTAATTCCTTTACTTACTTGGCTTGCTTTCCTCAAAACCTTGCACTTTGTACTCCAGTATGATTCCCCCCACCAAAAAAAACCTCCTCTCCTTTCTTTGATTATTGAACAGCTAATGTTCTTGCTCTTGCAGAAGCCAAATGTCTGTAGGCCATGTTAGCTTAGGAACGTAATATAAAATTCTCTTTTAGAAATCTATTATCTTGCTCAGATTTATCTGTCTTGGTGAGACAGCAGTGTCTAACATTGCTTCAGTGACTCGGCATGTTACTTTATGGCGAGTAACTCCTCAGTTAGATCTCAATGAAGGGCAAAAAGGAACCACCAGGATTTGAATCTGTTTTTCAATTTAATTTGCTACAGTGTTCCTAACAAGAATGGCATATTTTAAATTTTCTTTTCTTTCTGGTTTTCTATTATGAAATAAAGCGTAGGGGTTCTTTGAGATGGTTGGCATCCACTGTCTACGCAGGACCTCTCAGCGACTTGGGAAGCCATATTAGATGGAACACTTCACAGAAATGGCTGGTGAAAGCGTTTCTCAAACTATATCCAGAGCTCATTAAAAATGGCCATTATGCTTGGCAGGCCATCCCAAGGCGAGACCATCTCAGATTTAATTAGACTTTCCTCTGATATAGACGAGATCTCCCTGTTTTACCCTAAAAGAAAACCATGTCCGTCTAATCTACATCCTGAAAATTCAAAGGCAACAGGGTGTGATTCTACCTTGTTTGGCATTGTTCATAAGGCAGTGTAAGTAGAAAAATGACCTACGCGTTTCACAGTTACCTAGCAGGAGAGGAGTAATGTCAGGAGCTTCATGATGCTTATCCCTAAAAGCTTTTATAAGAGAATTGCTGTGGTGAATGAAGGGCATGATTGAGGGTGGGCAGGTCTGACCCAATCTCTTGCGTCACCAATCCCTGCAACAGCAAAAGTAATAGCAAGCTATTGCTTTGAGGCTGTTCCCTGTTCCCTTTTCCTCTCGTTTATAAAGGCAAATCTTCTTCAGTAATGCTGTGTCCTTAAAACACTGATTGCTTCAGGTCCACAGGATATACATAACATGAGTGTTGTTTAACAGAATCATCCAGTGAAGACTATCCAACTCTTGCTCAATATAAGGAA